GATTCTCAAGCATAGTTAAATAACTTAAATTAGCATATGGTTCTAAGATTGTTGTCAAATCCTCTTAATAACTTTTAATGTTAATGAGTAGTTGTCACTCACATTTGTCTAAATTTTTTTAGAATAATACTTCAAATTTAGTCTATAACATTTCTTTTGAAGATGATATTATCGCTACCGCGCAATGCACGGTTAGAAAACTAGTTACCCTTAAGGTAATGATTGGGTGTACCTTACTCCCTTCCTCTCCCCTATATAAAGAGGTTTGGGGAGTCATTTTGAAGAGCACCCCAACACCGTCTAAGACACAATATTCTTTAGTGTGTCTCTCTTCTCTCTTTCTTTTATTATTATTATGTTTTTAATTAATGTCTTTAATTCCTAGTATTTTACTTCCTTGTACTTGTAATTTACTTTTACATTAATGCAATTTATATTTCAGTATTATTTAATGTCTTACATTACTTTTATTATGTCTAGCTAAATTACTCGTATGGGTGTGGGTGTGAGTTTAACTTAGGATGATTATATAATATTTGAGTGTTTTTATCTTTTATCACTTCGTAACTTGGTCACTTAAGACGACACTTAAAATGCGGATAAACTGATCACTTTGAAGTGTTAATATTAGATCTTAGACCCAGAGATGGGCGAATCCGAAATACGGCTTAAGTGATGCACAATGAACTCGAGAGGGTCTTTGAATACTTACGTGGAGACGCGAATTTTGTATGCATCTAGCTAGGGGTTAAGCAATAGGTATTTTTATCACAAAGAGATTTGGGTAATAATCGCATTCCTTTTACTTTTTAGTTAGATTGGCAAATTTCGAAGTGGTAAACGTAAAAACCTTATGGAATTTTATGAGGCCTAGTTATAAAAGTTCACTTTCGAGAGATTGGAGCTTTTATAAACAACTCGTAAAAGTCTAACAATTTTATTGTTAATTTTATCTTAAGCAACACTTGCACCCATGCTCATAATTTAATATTAGAAGTTTATTTCGTTATTTAGCTAGTCGGTCTTATTTCGGTCTTTTTTTATAAATAAAAATCCAACTTTATTTTACATCTCGAAACTCACGTAAGAAGTTCATGGAAAATCTCTGAATCTCTGTAGTACCTTCTCGGTGGGAACGATCTCGGTACTTTGTACCACTTTATTACTTGCAAGCGATCATAGTGTCGGCGTGCACTTGCACCGCCACTGTGGGGACATTCTGCCCACTAGGAGAACAAGAACGATCCTAGCCTGTCACCCTTCCTACTGACCCCTTTATCTTTTTATCTAGCTTGATACTCCAGTGTGTTAAGTGACCTTGGCTATGACTCAGGTTGCTTGTCAAGTTGTCAAGACTCCTTGGATGCACGAAAAAAATCTTCGGTTTCTATAATCATTTGACCCTGAAAACAACCTAAGGCTAAAAAATCTGATTAAACACTGTTAACTATCAAATCTAGCTCGATCAACCTATAGATGAATCTAAAAAAAACCGGTGTTACACATGGTCATGCGCTTATAATTACGTGTTACACCCTTGTGGAGCACCCCCACCATTTCTTATATATTAAATTAATATATTAATGGTTTTATTTATACACCCACTTTTGTTTCACTCTTTCACCTACGTGGGACAAGGTGAGAACTACCACAATGAGATTTTCTCTTCCTAAGGCTCAACCCAAAATTGATAAAACATTTATACTGTTTTAATAATTTCCCCAACAAACTCCCCATCATTTTCAAAATAGACTTGAATTTTGGAAAAGACGCGATATGATTAGACCTAACCAGATTCTAAAATCATTTGGAGTGTTATGCGTAAACAAAGGTGGAGCCTTGTACCTTTAACCTTTACGTAGTGAAAATGCTTAAGTCTAACTAGGGTAAGAATGGTTAAATCAAAGCCATTGAACCATCTTCTGTTATATGTTATATAACACCCTCATTTTTACAACGAGGTGCCACGTAATTTTCACCAATAAAACATTAATATTCCAAAGACGTAAGAGCTAATAAAGCCCTATTACAGCGGAAGTCCCACAACAATTTGATCGCAATTAAAATCCTAAAACTAACCCATCCCATACCGGATTAAATATGAGTTTAAATAAAAATCAAAGCATCCATATATATAGAAACGTGAGAAATATAAATTTATTCCCTACACGAGTCCCTTGCCTTTTCCCATCTCTAAACTCCCCACTCATGAGATGCATACTAATAGTCATCTTTATAAAACTTAGTGAGTTCATCGTTTCGTGCATAAAACATACATACCCCATTATGCATAACAATAAGATGCCCAAATAATAATATGCACTTTTGTTTTAAACCCGTTTTAAATAATGATGAGATTAGACATGGGAATGGGGTGGGGGCCTCAATTCCCGTCCCCATCCCCGATTATTTATCTCTATCTCCATCTTCGTCCCCATCCTCGTCGAGGAATATAATCACATCTCTATCCCTATCCCCAACGTGGAAACAAGGATTTTTTTTGTTTATGTAAAATTAAATATGTGAGAGACCGTATATGTTTAAATCGCAAACATTTTCAATAAACCAAAATGAATTATTTAATACAGAAAAATCACAACATCATATAAGAATTTCCTAAAACCAAAAAAAAATCAATTTAATCCAAAAAAATCTTAAAATCACATGTACCAAAAGATATTGAGTAATATAAAACCATATCGAGTAATATACAAAACTTATCGAGTAATTGTATTTTGACTTGATATCCAAAATATTACATATTAACATCCAAAAAATAACAATCTTAGATTATAAACCTAGTTAGGAAATAGAAAATTAAGAATTAACGCTTTAGTTTAAATAAACAATATATATATATATATATATGTGTGTGTGTGTGTATATATATATAATTTATTAATTAATATATATATATATATATATATATATATATATATATATATATAACAGGTACAAGGCAGGGCGAGGAGTACGATACCCGTCCTCGTCCCCATCCCCGGTTTGAGACAAACGGGGATCCCCATCGCCATCCCCATCCTCAATTTATCGGGGAATTCTCATCCCCGACCGAGGCAGGTGGACCGGGTTCCCCGACGGATTGGGGCCTATTCCCATGCCTAGATGAGATCTCTTAAATTCCCATCAGGTTAGGGTCTTATCGTCATTGACACTTCCACGGGTTATATGACTCTCTCTTGTCCGATCACACATCCCTATGATGTGTCATCCCTTACGACTTTTTGATCCGTTTCCATACCAGACAAAAATAATAACCCGTTTATAACATCTAATTAATGTTTTTAAAACATAAATAAAATAGCATGCAACCTATAATTCATGTACATGAAGCAAACCCATAAACATGCATATAACAATAGAATAATGCTCAAACAATTACCACTACTAGAAAACTGGGTATTTGTGGATTACCGACGGATTACCGACGGACAACAAAAAAAGTCAACTTCTGTTAACTTGGCGGATTTTGTAATTAATTATTTTAGAATAGTTTTAAATCTAATTACAATAATTTACCAGCAGATATTTAATTAATTTTTAAAATTAAGATCCGCGGGAAAAAAATTAAAAATTATTTTTAAAACTTTCTGGCAGATTTCCGGCAGATTCTGAGGGCCGTCGGTAATAATTATTCAAGATTTTAATTTTCTTTAATGATTTACGACCGCTTTCTGGCGGCTTTTCATTTTTTCTCATTTCGAACTTTTTTTTATTAATGAATCGTATTGGGCTTTAACGGTTCTATTGGGTTTTATTGAATGTTAGTTGGGCTTTAATGGATCGTATTAGGCTTTAACGGTTCAATTGGCTTTAACGTATCGTATTAGGCTTTAGTAGATGTTAGTTGTGGTTTAATGACCGTATTGGGTTTTAATGGACATGTTAGACTTTAATGGATCGTATTGGTATTTAATGAATCGTATTGAACTTTAACAGTTCTATTGGCTTTAACGCATCGTATTGGGCTTTAATGAATGTTAATTGTGGTTTAATGAACTGGTTGGGCTTTAATGGATCGTATTGAGCTTTAACGATTCTATTGGGCTTTAACGTATCATATTGGGATTTAGTGGATGTTAGTTGTAGTTTAATGGATCGTATTGGGTTTTTTACGGTTATATTGGCTTTAACGCATCGTTTTGGGCTTTGGTGGATGTTAATTGTGGTTTAATGAACCGATTGGGCTTTAATGATTCTATTGGGCTTTAACAAATCATATTGAGCTTTAGTAGATGTTAGTTGTGGTTTATCCTTCATTCTCTCTTCAGATATATATATATATATATATATATATATGCATAATTAAATGAGAACTAATTAGTTTGTGGTAACCATGAGGTCCATCTCAACCACAAGTCAATAAATAAATTAGGAAACTTGTAATTTTGGTAATTTGGAATTAAAATTTTAATGTAAGGACATTTTAGGTATTTTAAAACTCTCATCTCTTCTCTCTCTGTCCCCCGTCCTTCGGTGATGTGATACCATCTTATATGTGCTTGGATATCACACTAAGGTCGTTTGTGTGGTCGATCGGAGATGTAACACAATGGTATCACAATGCATCTTATACGTGTTTGGGTATCATACTGTGTCTTTTATTTAACAGATTCAATATTTTTAGGTATCATAGTGGTATCATTAGAGGACGGGGGACGGAGAGAGAAGAGATGAGAGAAAATACCTAAAATGYACTTGCATTAAAATTTTAATTCAAAATTACCAAAATTATAAATTTTCTAATTTATTTATTGATTTTTGGTTAATATTGTATCTTACGGTTACCACAAATTAGTCAGTTCTCCTTTGAATGAGCCCCCTATATATATATATATATATATATATATGTGTGTGTGTGTGTGTGTGTGTGTTTTGATATATTCATTGATTTTATGTTTCCATAAACAAAGAAAAGAAACCAAAAAAAAGTTATGAAAATATATATACATGATAAGTAACTAAAACAAAAATCAAGTTACGATGAAAAAAGAGAAATAAGATGAATAGGTATAACAATTATAAATCATAACGAAGAACTAGTAAGTTCCTTAATCTTCTGTTAACGACCTCAACTCCAAACTTAAAGCAACAGTAACAATTATTCCAATAAAAACCCCATAAGGAACGTTCCAATCGCTTCCCGCATTCGCCAAATTGATACCATAAAAGACGTTGAAGACTGCTAATACTATCAAAAGCCGCCCTACATTGTGATGATACCAATTCCAAAATTTCCTCCTCTTCGAATCAGTACTTGGCCTAATCAAAATAGCAAGAATCTACAAAACAAAAATAATGATCTGTATGTGTAATGAGAAGTAAAGAAAGACGTTAAAACAATAATGCACAAACCTGTAAACAACCAAGCGTGATGATGACTATGCCAATGGCTTTATGCTTGGCAACATTGACGTCAATACGATCATTTAAAATAAGTCCTGCAACTACACCCGATAATCCAAGAATAAACCCAAGAGTTTGGATGCACGCATGTGCATAAAACCATTTTGAACCTAAATGCCTTGTGTAACGAGCAATCATAGCTCCAATAAGGATTAATCCCCCCCATCCTACTGCATTCAAGATCCCATGAACTCTCTTTAAATTTGAATACGGAGCACTGACTTGGCTACCTTGACCTGTCATGTCACGAAATCGACAAATAGATAGTTATATAAAACTTGTTCGAATCCATAAGATTTATAAAACTTGTTCCGATCAATATTACTGGTAATATTGATTCGAGTTTTAACTTATCAAAATTATTGGTAATACTGATTTATAAAACTTGTTCCGATCAAGTTTTAACAACCATTAAGAATTATAAAATTACTGGTAATACTGATTCGAGTCCATAAGATTTATAAAACTTGTTCATATCAAAAAGTATAGTTGATGGTTTAAAGTAACATGCTCTCCATCCTTCTGACCTGACACATCCTACCTATCAAACGTCGGCAGGGTCCCGAAAAGTAACCACAAACAGACACTCCCTTTTATCAAGTTTTTAGGTTCTAAATATCTAATTAATAATCAATGGCATAAAAGGGATGTTATGTTAGGTTGCAAGTGAAGTGGACCAAATTAAAGCAACTTGGATCCTTTTGGGTCAGCAATCGAACAACTCCACACAAAACTCTTTATCCAAAAAATTTAATTATGCATTTAAAAAAAATCTCAAATAATATTATATTTAATTTTATTTTATTTGAATTAAAAAAATATGAAATGTTGTCGAAGAAACATTCAAATTCAATGGTTAAAAGATATAACTTTTTTCTAATTATAATATGTTTTTGAATTTTTAAAGTAACATTAAAATTAGATAATAATCATAATATTTGATTATAATTTAAATATAAAAAACAAAAATATTTTTAACAATTATTTGTTCTCAAACTAGAAAGAAATTCACTCAATTGAAATTAATGACAAAGACTTTGGGCCACCATTATCTTCCCAATAACAAATTATGGTCTATAATTTTTCAAAATATAAAATATGAAAAATTTATATAAAAATATATAAGTTAAAATTGATACAAAAATAATATAATTAATTATTATAAAATAACAAATTTAATTTTGTTTTATTTTTCATTTACTATAAATTTTTATACAAGTTTTTATATTAATAAGTTTAATTTTTAATTTATTTCATTATATATTATGTTCAGATATTTTTCAAATACTTATATATATAATTATAATAAATTTATGAATCAGAAATTAATAATTTTAAAAAAATTACATATTATAAACTAAAAAAAATAAAAAATAGGTTTTGTAAGAACCTTCATTGTGTAATTTTATTGAGATTTTTATTTTATTAAGATGATAATGTTATAAAAGAAAAAAATATGAGAAGTAAAGCTTTTAGATGTTCACTACAAATACTCTTATAATAATTATTAAATAATAAACATTAAACTTTCACATATTTTATCAACTGAAAATTCAAAAAAATGCCATATTTATTTAACTTAGTATATAATATATGCTTTTTTTTAATACAGATAATCAAAATATTTTGTATGTTTATCTACAGACAAGAAAACAACGACTTGATATACTTAAACTGATCTTATCAATAACTGTAAACTACTGCTAATTAATAAATAATTAAAACTAGTCTATAATCCTACTAATCACTAAATGTAGGCATTTTTCTGAAATAATCTAAAACTGACATTTTATTCTTTTAAGCCAAAGAATATTATATCTGTTATAAAATAATCTTTCTAAAAATAAAAATTATTATAATTAGTATGAAAATGATGTAAATGAGATAAACATTTAAGGCATCCTCTATCTTGTGTCAAAGTCAAATGAATAATCAACAACTCAAGCTATCCGATTTACATTGAAAAAAATTATCATTATCATTATCATTTTTTTTGACGTCTTGAATTGTTTTTATAATTTTTTATTTTGCAGTTAATACATGAATCATATGTACTGCACACAAAATTCCGTATATCTGTTTTTTATTTGTTTTGATAAGAGATAAGATTAGAAAATTGAAACGTTGAGAGTAGTTGCTTGTGATGATGGTCATACTAATTTAGTTCAAATCGGACATGATTTAAGATGATTGGTCAATTCTTGGCATCATTTCTTTTTGATAACTTCATTATTCAGCAAAAATTTCATTTAGCCCCCACCATAACCCACACTAATTAATGGTTAGACCATATTTCAAACATATATATATATATATATATATGATTTTATCTCTTTTTTTTATTTTTATGTATATTAAAAAAGTGTTTAGCATAGCTGTTGGAGTAAACTTTTTTCAAATCTCTAAAATTTCTAGAATAACATAGTTGTTGTAGATGCTCTTAGTAGTTATCACACAACTTAAAGTATTTATTGTGCTGACTCATGTTTGGTTTTTCAAAACATAGATTTTTTATTATATAGTTTTTCCGTGAACGTGCGTTCGTATAGAGACATAAGTTTATGGATGTTTTTATATAAGAAATAATTATTACAACATCCATAACGATATTTGTTTACTGAAGGGTGTTTGGTTAGTGGTATCAAACAGTAATCAATGTGAATAAAAGTAAAAGAAACTATTTTGTTTTATATAATATAATAGACATATTTCCCAATAACCCTAAATTTTCATTCCTTGTTAAACTGGGACATGTTATTTACACGTTTTCGTTCTTCTCGAACCAAGTTTTTTTTTTTTGAAAGCTTATGACTTTATTGATATTGAATTGTGAAAAACCACTCAATAAGAAAAACACTTTTTGTGTTTTTGTAGTTAGAACATTTCGAACCTATACTTCTAAGAAAACATAAAAATGTGGGTCCCTTTCAATTAAAACACAACTCTTTGAACCATATACATGCATCTTTTTAGAGGTCATGAACGACATCCAAAGATGGAGGACTCTTTCACAACATACATAATTTTTTTCGTGTTTAACTGATGAATTGGAGTGAACATGACCTCCGTTTTTATGTTCTAGTGATTGCAATTTCTTCATAAATATAATAATCTATATATATATATATATATATATATATATGTGTGTGTGGAATTATAAAATGAAGCGGAGTGATTAGAAATTTTTTGGGGGTCAATTTAGGTGATCTTTCTCCATGAATTGAATCGATGATAACAAACCTGAGTCATAATTGAAGCTAACGGTGATTTGGTTCCGATGAACTGTCAATTGGTAGCTCGACGGGGATGGGGCTTGATTACTATTGCCACCGACGGCGTATACCAGTTGTTGACTTGGTTGATCTATGACCAATTGAAATGCTATATACATCCGAGACGAAAACGAAACGATTGCAGATGAGTTCTGGAAAACTCGTAGGTTTCCTTGATCCACCACCACTTGGTTTGGTGTCTTTCCGCCAAGATAATACCTTTTCATGGTGGCGGAACTGCCACCGACCAACCAACCGACTATGGCGCTGGAGCCAACCATGCCGCCGTTGGGCGAAAAACCCATCGCTACGTACGAATTGGTGTTGGGCGCTGACAACACGAAACTCCATAAACTTGGCCCCGCTTGTGAGTACTGCAAACAACCAAATAAATCAAATTAAAGTGAATATAAATAGTTAAATATACCATTATTTTTTTAAAAAATTAAATATTCCGGTTTTAGAAAAATATTTAGAATTATAAGAATCTTTCAGTTTAAAGTTATTTACAATGTTTTATTTTGATCAAAAAATACCAACGGTTATTGTATGACATTCACTCAATATTAAAGTTATAAATATGTTTTTCTAAATTAATTTTAGTGGTTGTTATTAAAAATTGTGCAAAAGAAAAAAGTCGAGAAACCATGAATTTGTAAACTTATTATCAAATAAACATATAAATACATATAGATACACATATATATACATACATACATACATACATACACACACACATAAATATATATATATATATATATATATATATATAATCGCTCTATAATTGATCATGGCATGCACCCATATAAAAAAAATAGACACGTTAATTTGTCAAGGATATAGAAGACATGATGAAACTGATAACGAATATATCAGTAATAAAACAGTAAATAATCAGCTTTTTAGAGAAGATATGACAACTTACTCTTAGAAGGAAGTTTTCGGAGGGCCAAACATTGAAGCAAGTGAGAGAAGAGGTGTCAAAAGGGATTTGAGCATAGACATTTGGAAGAATGGAAGTAATGCATGAGTCTTGAATTGTTTGTGAATGAACCACATATAAACAACCCAAAATCAACCCAAAATATTGAAGGCTTGAGAGCAACTTCATGATGGGTGTTTTCTTCTTCATATGGGTCTCTCCCTCCTATTATATATCTATAAATATAAGGTAGGTATGATGAGAAGGGCAAAATGGTAAATATGTTTTTCTTCCACAAGCCTTTGAATGGAAAGTCGTTGGAGTAGTTGACTTGGGTCTTACAATATATTAAGAAGGAAATTTTAGAGTAAATTAGACTTTTAATCCGTATGGTTGTTACTTGTTATCAACTTTCGTATCTTTTTTTTTTAAATTAGTTATAGTTTTTGTCACTTTGGTTGTCATTTTGTTTCACTTTTGATCCCTCAAACTAACTTCTATTAAAAAGATCCGTTAAATCAAGGGTATTTTAGTCCTTTTGCTATTTTTCTTATTTTTATCATATTGTCTTTTTTAAATAATTTAAATCTACAAACCTGTTGATGCACCTCAATTCCTACCTCACCAGTCCAACGACCAACACCCCCTCCTTCAACACTCGGCCCGACCCCACCCGCTCTGGTCATCTTTGTGATAACCGGGTTATCAGTTATTAAGTTCAGGGTTGTTTTATAAAGAAGGTTGGAACTTGAGGGGTTTATTTTGTGATTATGCTTAAATGTTTTAAAAGCGAAATACATCTTGATTTAATATTTTATTTTATTCTTTATCTCAGTCGATGTTATAGTATGGTCTTATGTGATTTTGAGAAAGCGATGATGTTTTTATTTTTGAATAAAATATAAATTTGAAGATATCATAAAAATTTAACCAAAATATATCGATATTAGTATCAAATTAACTATTTAAAATTCCTCATTTTTTTTGTAATTTTTTAATTCAATTATTTTATTATAATTTAATTTAGATACAATAACGAAGTAATTTATATTTGATTTAATAATATAATTTTCTTATAAAGATAATAATTAATTATTTTGTTAGAACTCGATAATTATCCTAATTATATTTTAGATTTTTTATATTTTAAAGTGAGATGTTTATCCTGTATTTGATTATATTTATCCGCARTTAGTTATACGAATGCAAAAACCGAACTTTAATAAGTTGTATTTATGCATATTTTACTTGTAATTTTGAATTTTAAGTAATATGCATCAATATACAGTACTTTATGCATAAAAATGGTTTTTAAGAGTTTTCGTCAAATGTTTTATAATATAAAATAGATATGAGTTTTATTAGAGATATTTGTGTTATCTCTTGGGAAGTTAGTGAAAAAGCAAGTAACAAGGAAACAAGGTCTTCTGTGTGGTCTCGTGTGGGAAAAGCAAAACAGAAACCATAAGAAGAAGAAACTGGATTTTGTGATTTATTTATCTGACTACTTGTTGTTGGTTATCTTCATATGTGTGATTCCATAAGGTGAGTTTATTTTACAAACTTTCATCTTATTTTGTGGATTATAACCGTGTTGTTCTTTACGTGGAGAATTTATGAAAAACCTTTTTATGCTATGCTTAGCATAATTTTTATTTTGATATGTTAATATCAAATTATTGGAATAAGGGTTGCATAATCCGGAGAGGTATATTTTGATTATAAGGGTGGCATAATCCGGAAAAGTGTATTTTGGTTATGAGGGTGACATATCAAGGAGAAGTGTATACTAGGATAAGGGTGACATAATCAACAGAATGTATAAACTGGGTTTCTATTAAGTTGATGCATTGTTATTGAATCCTTATGATTCGATAACTTTGAGTTGTCGCATCGGTGTGATGTGATAACTTAGGTTATCACATTCTTGTGATGCGAGAAATGGTTTTATCACATTCTTGTGATGCGACAAGTTGACTTATCGCACCAATATGATACAACAAGTTGAGTTTATCACATTAAGTTTGATGTGATGAAATGGGGTTCTTGCACCAATTTATTAATTATTTTTGTTAAGTTTAATCGATTGATTAATATTAAAATAAAATAAAAAATGTCCTTTTACATAACAGTTATAGGGAACCATGGTTTAGAGAATTGGGGGTACCGTGTCCGTCCTAGATATAGGGTGGGTGGGGGTGGGGTAAAATAGTCAAAATAATATGAAAGACATATTGAAGGGATGTTTAACAGAATGTAACTTCACAATCATAAAGACAAAAATGAAAATCGACGAAAATTGTAATTTACTCTTTGTTTTATCTATTTTCACACACACACACATACATATAGGGTTAGGTTTACGTGAGATCAATGATTTTCAATGAGACTCGTAAGACCAATTTATGTTCATTGATCAACTTTATAAGCTAATTATCTAATGGTCTAAAGTTGCACGGTGTCAATTTTGTGATTATTGATGAGTCTCGTGGCAATTTTGTGATTACAAATGTTCAGATTATAGATCTAATCTAAGGGTTGATAATTGGTCTTACGGGTCTCACAGAAAACATTTGGTCTCACATAATCCCATGTATATATATATATATATATATATATACACACACACACCCCTATATATAGGGCTAAGTTCAAATGTTAACCAAAGTTTTTGTGTTAACTTTGTTAACCGATCTTTGCCATTGAATCTTTCATTAAAAAGGTTGTGATTAATCATGATAAAAACTTATTTTTTAAAATTTAAAATTTCATAAAAATAAGTGAATAAAGTTGAAAGGGCATTTAGGTAAAAAAAAAATTATATAACTCTCATATCATTAATTGGGAGTTACAAAATAAAAAAATATCATGATTTTTGTTAAATTATTTTTGTTAATGTAAGAACCATATGAACACAACTACATGTATATGAATCATTATGTCAAATACGAACATAAAATTGACATATATGAACTTGGACTACATAACATTTATAAACACAATATGAACATAATAAGAATAATTGTTACACGAAAGAAAATAAATAAAAAAACAGGTATAAACATGATATGAACAGCTTGTGAACAATAGTTCATTCACTATGAACACATTCAGGAGCGATCCTTTGTCAAATAAAGTTTTATGCATGCATTGCATCTACATCATTTAACGTTCGTATTACAGTATCTCCTCTCGCCGGACTAAATAGCCATAGAATCAAAATACTTTTTATTTGGTATTCTATCCCTACTACATAAAAATCATTTTGTTTGTATGTCTCCGTTCTTATTTGCTTTTTTGGCATGAAGACGAACATCAAACCCGACATTGTCCGCGTACGTCTTGTACATATTTTCCGCTTCATTTATAAATATGAATTGTGTGTTGATCTTTGGTTTAAGCTCGTAATCAACATTGTGGATAAAATACTTGCTTCCATTTGAACACTCTCCGACATCGTTCTCCGTTTCATGTTCAAAGGGTGTAAGTATGTGAACACCTGTTGATACCATCAAAGTTAGTAAAATCAATGAACATTAATATTACATAACTAGAGTAATCAACTGCAACAACTAGAAAATATATTTATTTGGTGCGAGTTAGAGCAATCATTAATGACCATGAGATGATTAATGTGAACATATATGAACATGAATATGTATGAACATATATGAACATGAACATATATGAACATATATGAACAACGGGTGAGATCTATTTGGTTTGAGTTCACAAGCCGTTCATAGACTAAAATAATTGACATGAACATATATGAAGAAATTGATATGAACACTTACACAAATATAAAGATTTGGTATCAAGCTTAAAAAATAACAATTGTGTTCATATGATAGAAGTAACATGAATACAATGGTTCATAATTCATAAAAGTCGGTAATATGACAATATGAAAATGGGTGGTGCATGTACTTCCATTTGAACATGTGAATTATGTACGTATTAATAATTAAATAAAAAAGTTATCAACGCAATATGAACTACAAAAAACACAACACATCATAATGAACATAATTTCGATTAAAACGAGTATAATAAAATATTAATCCATTATCAAGGCATTCGCTTTGGTTAATTTCTTCACTTCCCGAACTCGAACTCCGCTTGTCACCGTAATCCATTTTAATCTTCTCAATGTTGTCGATTTTTTTTCCAATGTGTTTATCTATAATAGCTTGAACGATAATGAAGATTTTACTACCGTGTTTCCTCCACGAATCAAAAACTCATAAAACAATAAAAATGGAAGATCAAGATTAAAAAATAAATAAAAATATCAATATTATAAATGCATATTTTTAGGGATTTGATGATTTTGTAACTCCCTTTTAATGATATGGGAGTTACATAGCAAATGAAATTACTCAATTACCCTTGGCATTAAATTGTGAATATGATATAAACCTAATAGAAAAATGGATTGTGATTGGTTCACATGGTTTGCAAAGTTAACACAAAAACTTTGGTTAACATTTGATCTTGTCCACACACACACACACACATATATATATATATATATATATAGAGAGAGAGAGAGAGAGAGAGAAAGAGAGATAATGAGGGAGGATCAAACGAGAACAAGATCAAAATAAAAAAACACAAAACGACCAAATCATATATGATTTTGCACTAAATCAAATGCGATTAAAGAACACAATGAAAGTAAGAGTGAGCAGACGGCTTATCCTGCAATCAGATGTTGAGGCCGAAATCGGAGGATTAAACGAGAACAAGATCAAAATAAGAAAACACATAAACGGCCAAATCACATATGATTTGACAGGCGACTTGAGCCACGACCAGAGGTCAAAGCCAAAGCCGTGGGAATCACATGTGATTTTACACATGATTTCAGTATAAAATCACATACAATTAAACTGTTCTTTTATATTCTCTTATTTAACTATTGTTCTCGTTTTAACTGAATATGTATATTAAAATCAAATAAATACATGTTAATTGTTATTTTTATGTCTCAAGTTGATCATCACAGAAAAAGGATTTACCTTTTCTTGGTTGCGGTAAGGGAAAGCAAAGCGGGACTTCTTTCCCTTTGTTTTTTATTGGTTGGTAACCCATTAAATCATACAAGATGGAAACAAAATGTATTGTTATGGTTTTTTTAAGAGTAAATTACAAATTTGGTCCTTGTAGTTTATTAAAAATAACACTTTGTTTCTTAGTTTTAAAAT